TAGGGCCCCCTCTCAGCATTTTTCTACACTGGAATTCCTATGCAGATCTTATTTGAGGTAATCAAGGTAGGTGACTTCAGTGCTTATTTTTCTTACATATTCAAGTAATGATAACTTTCAAATAATATTTAAGAAGTATTTCAAACACAGAGATCATGATCTATAATGTTTTGTCTTAGGAAGTAATTATTGCAAGTAGTAGGTTTTTTAATAGTAGAAAACATAAGAAAATAATACATAGTGGTTCTCTAGCAAATCTTGTGATTTAAATTAACTAGTGGCGTTTCTGATGTTTTTTGAAATTTTGTGTTTTTAAGTTCTTAATGCATGAAACTAATGTCGATTTTACGATGTTTAAAGTTCTTTCATTTTATTAAGTATGTTTNTGCATGAAACTAATGTCGATTTTACGATGTTTAAAGTTCTTTCATTTTATTAAGTATGTTTATGCTTACATTATGAAATTTGCTAACCAAAGTGTTTCAGTGAGATCTCAGAAATGTATTTCGATTATAACATGTTAAAATTAAACAACCATTGAACACTTCATGTGCATTTTTTAAGAATGTGGGAAATCTCTTTTCTAATAATTTATTTTTCTTTTTTTAAAACAACTCACGTTAGCCTTTTTTTTTTTTTTTTTTACGGTTATATCATTTTAACCCCCAAAATGCATTTTCACAGGATATCTAATATTTTTTGCAAGTAACATTTTGAATTTGTTCTTCTTGACATCTTTACGTTTATATGCATTTTGCATTTCCCTATTTCATTTTTTGAGGTCCAAATGTAACAGATTACAAATTTTGTATTACATTCTTTTTTTTTTTTCTTTTACTGGTTAGCATCACTCTCTTTTCTGAATTTTTGCAAACATGTTGTTTTTGAATTCTCTTTTTTTCCCTTTATTTTCCTTCCCAATATGACCCCAGGAGCCAACACAAAGAAAAACGCAGATGATATAGCCAGTAATGACCGTGGTGAAGATGAAGGTATTTTTTGGTATTTTTTTCAAAGTTCGACCCTGATGCATGGTTTTGTATCTATCTATCTCTCTCTACATTTTTTTTTTTTCATTTCAACCTGTTTTTCCTACCCTTATTTGAAACCAGTACACTCTGGTGTGCTTCTTTATTTATTCTCTTCTTGTATGAAAACCACTGTCAATTTTAAACACAATTACCATGTAGATGACTGCAAATCATTGTGTGGAAAGAAATATGAACATTGTTTCTAGATATGAAATGAATAACATGCTATTTACAAAGAAGCCCATCTTTTTTTAAAATTTTTTTATTTTTTTGGCTTGGTCACAAGATGAGAAAATGAAATTTTAAAACATGCATGTATATTTTCTTTTCTTCCTTCCAAGCATTATTTTGTAACTTAATATTGTATTTTGGAGCTTTGGTCTTTGTAATTCTTTCTATAAAATGCAACATTTTGTGACACCTCACTAGAACTTTTCAGGGGGGCTGGAATTTCAGTTTGATTTTGTTTTATTTATTTATTTATTTATTTATTTATTTATTTATTTATTTATTTATTTTCTTTGCAAATGCACTGATTCCAGAATATGTTTCCAAGAGTCTGCTCACAGTAAAGTACATCAAAAAGTGTTTTAACGAAATGTTGTTTCTTTCAGTATTGTCTTTCAGCACATTAAAAAGAAAAGATAGGAGTATCTAAGAATTTAAAAAGGTCAAAAAGTTAGCTATATGAACCTTTGTTTTCACACTACAGCTATTTTGAAAACCTCTTTTCTCCCTGAAATGTTTTGTTGCTATGAAAGTTTCTTCCTGAAGTCACCCAAATTGCTTGATAATGTTTTGTTGCTATGAAAGTTTCTTCCTGAAGTCACCCAAATTGCTTGATACATTATCCACCAAAGCGAAATGATTTTTTAAAAAGATAGAACTTGTGAGGCATCCCCAGCAGACAACTCGCATGCTGTGTTTTTCTGTTTAAAAGAAAAGAAATTGAAAAAAAAAACCCACTAAAACCTGCTTTCACTTGTTGAGAAGTCTTCATAGAATGGGTAAAAGCCCATTATTTTTTCCATCTCGAGGTAAAGTGCATGAAACGCCATTTATTTATCTTAAAGGATAAAACCCTTGATAAACTGTTGAGTCTCTGGCTGGAAAGCAATTTAAAGCAGAAAAGTGAGTGGTGAGTTATCCTGGCGGGTCGAGATGAACTGCACCAAAAGGGCCCTGCTACCATTTGCCTGATTTTGCTGTTCTCTTTGATGTCTTTTATAAATCAACTGCTGTCCAAGAAAAGAAGTTTTGCCAACATTGCATTTATGTCTGTTCTTTTCACATTAGTATTATTATTAGAACCGAGCTCTAAGTTCACAGGGCTGTCGCTGCCTCAAATAGCTCTAAGAGCCTTCTTCTGGCAGCACAAGAAGATCAAAATCTACACCTGACTCATCAGGTAGCCCTTGTCTGTTAAGGACTTTAAAACACCTGCCATTTTATCCATGTTCAGATGAATAAATTAAAATAAAATAAAATAAACTTTCCTTTCCCTTGTTCTCTCTTGAATCATCTATTGCTATCATTGTACCATTCTCTGCTTTCTCTTTTTAATATATTTCCTTTGGG